AAAGGGAGCATGATTATTTTGAAATTTTATCTTGGCTGAATGGATTGGGATCCAATTAGGTTTGTGTATGCTTGAAAATGGATCAATATAGGTGGCTTGGAGCTTGCATGATTGGGCTGAATGTGAGCTTTACATGATTACATGCATAGCTTGCATGAAAGTGAGTCTTGAGCTTGAAAAACTTAAAGCCATGAAAATAGCGTGACAACCATAAAAAATCATCCAAAATTTTAAATTTTAGCACTATTTTAATATGTAAAATCTCTATATATTTTAGTGCTATCAGAGGACTTGGTCCTAAGCATTTGAAAAAATGGTTGAAAGCTGGCATGATGTAGGTTTGAGTTCATGGTTGGGTTTACAACAAATTTTATGGGGTTGTATTAAACCTAGTGACTCCCACTACAAATTTTTTTCATATATTGATACTTGATTATACTAACAGTTAAATTACGTCAGTAAAAGAGACTTTTCAAATGGTTTTTTAATACTATCAGAATATAATATATCTTTACCAATACTTTATACAACCGTTGGTATAGATAAACTTTTTTTGACGGTATATAATTATCCGTCAGTATAAGTACGTTATACATTGACACTTATCTATACTGATAGTCAAATTATGTAAGTAAAAAATATCTATACTGATGAATTTTTATTACTGTCAGTATAGACAGTGCTTATACCAACACTTTGTAAATCTATTGGTATAGGTAAACTTTTTTTGACGGTATATAAATATCCGTCAGTATAAATATATTATATACTGACAGTTATAATAACCATTCGTATAAGCTCAAAAAATATTTATTCTTAATTTCTTTTTTAAAAAATATTAATTCATAATATATCCTTCTAATGAAAAATTTCAAAAATTATAATTTTCAAAAACCTATAATTATTGATAAATAAAATTTGTAACTTAATTAATTTTAAATGATAATAAGTTTTAAATAAAATTTGTAAGTATTATATTAATTAATAAATTTATAATTAAATATTAGAATAATTTTTTTTAAATTAAATATTATATTAATTTGGTTTCAATTAATATTTTAATTTTAATATAGTTTTATAAAATTTTAAAATCATTCTAGATTGAAAGTCAAATTATAAATAATCTACATAATAATATTTATATTTATATAAATATTTTGTTATATTATTTGTAAAAGTTTTTTTTTATAAAATAATATTTACTGTTCATTATATTAATAATTTAGGATTTCAAAATTAAAAAAGAAATTTTAAAAATGATCATAAGGCACTTTATGTTTTTGCTTGGTTATTACTAGTATGATTTCTTGTTGATGGGTTGCTTATCCAGGGAAGGAATCCTAGGACAAGTACGATTTCTAGGGCAATTGGATTTGTCCAACAAATCCTTACCATTTTTTCTTTCCTCTTTTCTTTTTCTTCAAGCCTTCCCAATTTTTTTTTTGTTTTGATTTCTTTCTTGATTCTCAAGGTTTTCCAAATTTCGATTCTCTTTCAAAAGAATCTTCGATCTGATTTTTGTTTTGGTTTTATTTTTTCATTAAATTTTGTGTGTGTGTGTTTTTTATTTTTTAAAATTTAATTTTTCATTATTTTTCTAATTTTATTAAAATAAATATTAAAAGAAAAAGACATAAAAAAAAGAAGAAAAGAAATAAATAAAAAAGTAAAAATACTTGGACAAGCCTTTATATTTGTCTCTAAGCCCAATCATAAATTGACAAATAAAAGCAAATTACTACGCCCACTTAAAAATTTAAAAGGTTCAAAAGCAAATCTAAGGTCTACTTAGCAATTCACAAACCTGAAACAATATAAAGGCCTATATCAATAAATTTCAAATCCAGAAATCAAATTTTAGAACGTCTTAATTCATATAAATTCGAAAAACAAATTTAGTTTGGGCTTGAATTATCACGAGGCCAAATTAGATAATTGGATTAATAATTGAACTCATCTTAATTAGAAGTATTTCAAAAACCTTTTGAGATATTTCAAACAAAATGAAAAGTATATAATATTCAATGGAGATTTAAAGTTATATTTGGATAAGTAATAAGTTTAATTTCAAGAAAAATAAAAATAATAATGACAGTGAAATTAGTTTGATATTATAACGATGACAATAAAATTAGATGTGAAATATGATTTATATATTAGAATGTTGATAGTTGTGAGATAAAGTATAATAAAAACATGATAAATAAAGACATTTTATGAAAGTGTATTAATAAATTATTTATATAGATATTTTAATGTTATTAATATTTAAAATTTTAAAAATATTATTGAATAAAAATACCAACACATTATTTTGAATTAAACTAATAATTGGGAGTTTAATTTTTACAATTATAAACAATGTAATTATTATTTTCTTACTTATTCACTTATTCCATTTTTATACATGTTTATTTATCATTTTCAATAAATAAATAATTAAATAAAAAGTAACCAAAAACCCGAAAAATAGTCACAAAAGCGAAAGGAGAGTGTAGTCTGGGGAGATTAAACGCCAGTGGACCCACAAAGGTCGACCAATCCTAAAACGAAGATGCAGCATGATAAAAATGATCCTTAAATGCCATTTCGGTGCAATAAGTAATGAACCCTTATTTTCAAACTTAGCAAAAACAATGAGAAAAAATCGTTTATAATATGGAAAGAATAGGAACCAACAAAAAATATATATTTTTAAATTGTATAACAAGAAAACTTCTAAAACCGTGTGGTCCAATTATTATATGTAGGCGTAGAATTGTTTCTCTCTCCTCCCTCAGTGGCAGAGACGGTGCCACATAGGGAAATGAGGGGGCCATCACCCCGCCGGAAAAAAAAATGAATTTTAGAAGTTTTTTAACCATATAGTATTATAAATTAATTTTTTAAATATATTTCTTAAAATAAATGAATAGCCTCCTCAACATAATATAATTATTTTAATTTTTATTTATAAATTTTTTTTTGAAATCTTAAGAGTATTATTTATTCTTCAAGTTTAATAAAAATTTAAACTGTCTTTACTAAAACAAAAAGTTTAGTACAATTGAATATATTTGCAAAGTATAAAAATTTCTTTAAAATAATTTATTTATTATACTGCTATTAATTAAATAATATAAACATTTTAATACTAAATAAAATGATAAGGTATATAAATTTTTAAATAAAATTTGTGAAGTTTACAAGCAAAAATATTTATACATCATAAGAACTAGCACTAAAAGTCAAAACTAAAACTACAATTTATTTAAGAGCTTTTTGAATGCACTTTCTACATGTAAGTTTTGAAAATTTTAACAAGTTACATATTTTAAATAAAAATATTTTAGTTTCCTTTATTTTTAATAGTTATATTTTTTATTTCAATATTTGAATTTTTATGATTGTTGTTTATGATTATAATATGAAATGTTATATTTCACATATATTTTCATAACATTTGATAAAATAATATTATATTATAAACTAAATAAAAATTTTTAGATTATAAATTTTATTTTTATATAGTCCTTTTGAAATCTTGAATTTGCTACTGTTCGATGGAAGTGTGGAGCGTTGGCCGTCGGGACATGCTTCACGTTTTTAACAAGTAGTCTATAAAACTAAAAGGTTAATTCGCCAATCAGCGTTTAGCCGCCTTTTCAAAACCATAAATCATTTAGGAAATTTTGGAGTTAGGTGTAACAAAATGGAAAATAATTGACAGTCAATGTTTTTTTGGATTGAGTGTAAACATTTTTAATTGAGGGTAAGATGCTATTTTGTAAAGATTCTTTTTTATCATTACATGTAGCTTTCACTTTACCGTTTCATTTAAATCCAACTTTTCATTTATCTTTCCCTGCATACATTTATCTACAATTACCTACATATTAAAAGGGGCCTTTGTTTATCCACATAAATATGAGGGATGAATGATTTGATGTCTAGTTGTACATTCAGCGAATCTAGCAAATGATTTGATATCCACAATAAATAAGTTTGGAGATTGTTGGGTGTTAATTGAATCTATTGCCTAACATGCTTAAGGAGTTTATCTTTTGCGTACGTAACATTACTATATCCTAAATTATTGGGTTTGATACACAAACAAAAATGGTGCTAGTTGAGAGATTTTTTTCCATTAGCATGCTTGCCTGATGCTTTTCATATTGCAGAGAGATACATACTTTTATTGGAAATAAATTATTGGTTAAAATAATAGAAAAGTCACTTAACTTTATTATTCCATTTAAAAAAAAATTATACTTTTATTATATTAAAAAGTCATTTATCTTTAATTTATATTTAAATAAGTTCTTAACTTTATTTTTTAAATTTGTATATAAATAATTCATTTTTTTTATTAAAGATCTTGTTTGCTATATATTTGTAGTAGATTTGTTTATAAAATTGAATTAAATAAAAGCTTTTCACATAATCTTCTTTCATAAATGTGAGCTAACACATGTTTCTAACATGTTAGATATGTATTATACAAAACAAAATTCAAAAGTTAGTTACATGTCAATAAGGTATTAACACCTCCAAAATGTCCATTGTAAAATGATAACAATCAATTAAGCTTATGTTATCTTAAAATTGTCTTGGGTTATAAACTTATAATGGCCTTTTTTTTTTTTTTTGGCTTAATTTTCTTTGTTTTATCACTTTTGTTTTTTTTTTAATTTATTGTTTAAATATTAAAAATTCTTTCAAATATTTTTTTAACACTTTTAACATAACTTGAGAAATTTTCTCACATTAAAAAAATCACTTACTTCGTTGAAAAAACTTCATTATCGGATTAATTTAATATTTTTTGAAAAATTTATTTATTTTATTTATTATTTGTGGTTTTACACACCTTTTTTATTTAATGCAATTAATGGCATCAGTCTTCCTTTTTTTTTTTTTTTTTTTTCTCTCTATTAGATTTGTATAAATAGACGCCAACCCAGCAGGTAACAGCATAGAGATTAGAGAGTTCAAGTTTATTTTTCCCTTTTAGAATTAATATGGAGTTTGGAGGTATTTATGATAGGCAAAACGTCGGCCAAGAAGATACGAATAGGAGAGGTTTAAGATCAAGAAGTCATATTGGTCTTAAACAAATCAAAGTAAGAAAAGAAATAGATGATGAGAGTGGTGAGGAAAAGGAGCCCTTGAGTCCGATGGCTCGTATGTTTCATGAGCCTGAATCTGACGTATATATTATTGTCATTGTGGGGTTTAAGAGCCCCATCGAACCATCTAGTTTCAAAGCAAACTTGGTGGAGACTCTGCTTAAGCATCCTCGTTTCTCTAGTGTGCAGGTGAGAATGAATGATAAAGCTCCCATCAGCCATGCAATATGGTTTCTTTTGCATGGCAACTCATGGTGGTTTACAGTTTATGCATAATTATAACATGAGCTTTGCTAAGGAGCACTTGTTAATGTACTATTTTATAGTAATATGTTTTTTTTTTTTAATTTGCATTAAATATAAGAGTGGTTTTTTATACACTCAGTAAATTTTTTTAACTCTACCAACTGTATTAAGAGATTGCATGTCACATAACTAACATAATTTTTAACTGTTTTTTATTTTTTATTACATCTTAAGATGTTTCATTTTACTAACTATGCTTGTAGAATTTTTTTTAAAAACTTTTGCTAGTAAATGAAATAATTTCTTTAAATACAACAGTTAATGACTAATTTGAATTTTTTAACGTTTTAAATCAAAATATTATTAATATAAAAATATTAGCAAATTATCCCTATGATAGTCACTACTCTAGTACCCGAATACTAAACTTTGCATAATAAATTTATTTTACAATTTAAATAATTAATTTATATGATTTATTCATATTTTATTTTATTTGTAGTTTTACTAAGTACTTTTTTATTTATCTTTTTTTATTTATTTTTTATAACCTTAATTTATCTTGAATGATCACAATATGTAAAGTTAAAGATAAATTTTTTTTTTGTTGTTTTTTTTTCCTTGTAATATTAATGATAGTAAGAGAAGAATTTATATATATGTTATAAATATTTTTTTTGGACAAAAGCTTCAAATTTTCATCGTCCTTTATTAGTATAACACATTAAATGTCCTTCATCAATAGAAACCGCAAGTTGCCCATTCAGTTTTTCGGACCCTCTAAATCCACGAGGGTTAGTCCTCCTCCTTATTGAACCCAAAGGGCTCGGCCTTCTCTTTTTGTACTTGGGCTATGACCGTGGATGTTAATTATTTCCTTTTTCAGAGTAAGCAAGTTAATTTGTTGGAAAGGCTCAACTCAACTTTGTTTTTTAACTTGAATTACTGACACCTTTTCTTATAGAAAATAAAAGATGTATCATAATTTGACAAACGATTTTATTTGTGTATTCTTTCACTTTATAAACAAATCGAACATTAATGAATTTTATTATATTTATGATCTGTTCATTTAATTAATAAATTTTAGAATATTATTTATAATCGTTTGTTAAATTTAATAAATGAATTTAGAAAAATTCAAATCAAACATATTTACGAATTATTTGTCAAATATTTTATTTATGTACATTCCTAATTTTTTTTAACATTTAAATACACAAATTGCTTATGTATTTTTAAGTAAAAATAATCCACCAGGTTGCAGATGATGAGAATGGTAGGGAGCTGAAGTGGGTACAAACAAAGGTAGACATAGATAAACATGTTATAGTTCCCATGGTTGATCAAGTTATGGCCTCCTCCTCAGATAAATATGTTGAAGATTACGTTGCCAACATTAGTAAGACCAAGATTAGCATGTCCATTCCCATGTGGGATTGCCATATTCTAAACCTCAAAACCTGTGATGCTGAATCCACACTGGTTATTCGAGTTCATCACTCCCTTGGCGATGGCACATCTCTCATGTCACTGCTAGTGTCTTGCTCTCGTAAAGTATCTGACCCTGACGCATTGCCAACTTTTCCAGCAATGAAGAAACCGAGATCGGCCGGATGGTTTTGGAGATTTTGGTCTGTTTTGGTGTTAATTTGGAACACTTTGGTTGATATGGGGATGTGTGTGGCAACAACGTATTTCTTGAAGGACACTCAAACGCCCCTCAAAGCTCCTTCAAGTACTGTTGCTTTTACTTCTCGGCGAATTGTGCGTCGAGCTTTTTGTTTGGATGATGTCAAATTGGTGAAAAATGCAACCAACACGGTTAGTCAACCATTTTTTTCTTTTCTTTTTAATATAAATTTTAGTATATATTTTATTAATCTTAGTAAATCAGATAATACTATTTCATTAGTAAAATTATTTTAAAAAATTAAATTTTTGTGTATTTATTTCAAGGTTTTGTAAACATTTATGTTTTTTTATTAATGAGAGAAAATTATCTGATTCATCAACAATTTATAAAATTTATATATCCATAAAGTAATTAGACGATATTATGTTGTTTTTTAGTGTATTGAAAAAAATATTATTAATTGTAATTTAAAAAAAAAGGCTTAAAGCATTTATTAGTAAAATTTTAATATATATCTATATGTATTATATAGCTCTTCATGTAAAATTACTACTCACCAAGTGAAGCATATATGTGCTTTTTCCAAACAAATGGAAAGAAAGTCCATACACAAATAACATGCATACTAAAGCGAAAATGAGGATTAATGTTACCATTGTGTCACATAAACTGATGATGGTTATAGTTGTGAATCATTTGGCACAATTCTTTAATTACTAATGTTTTCCATTAGTAACCAAAATGTTTTCCATTTGAGAAATTAATGTAGACGGTGAACGACGTGATGCTAGCAATCACACAGGCAGGCTTATCTCGATATCTCAACAAGAAATATGGTGGAGAAGCAAGAGGAAGGGAAAACAACTTTCCCAACAATATTCGTCTTAGAGCCACTCTTTTCATCAACTTGAGATCATCTCCAGGGGATTATGTAATCAATTAGTAGTTTCCTTCAATAATTAAAAACTTTTGTATTCCGAAATTTTCTGGTTTTTTTTTTTTTTTAATTGAATCTCATATGCTCTGTATAATTAATTTATAGGCCTTAGCAGAGATGGCGAAGAAGAATAGCAAAGCCGAGTGGGGGAACAAGATTGGTTATGTTCTCTTCCCTTTTACAATTGCATTGAAAGATAAGCCATTGGATTACATTCGTGATGCCAAAGCCACAATGGATAGAAAAAAAGCTACTCTTGAAGCCAAATTCAGATTATTTATGGCCAAGTTTTTTGTGAGGTTTTGTCGTACCAAAGTAAGATTAATCATGACTCACCGTTAACAAGTTGCATGTTTTTTTCCCATGGGATTACTTGATTTTTCTTTTTTTTTGGTATTTGAAGCTATAGGATTTGAATCTTAAGTACTGAAATTAAGAGTCCAACATTCTATCAACTCTATCAATAGATAACACAACAGCTGTCATTACTTGTGTTTTGCTCATTTAAGATTAGCCTTTATATGTTTTAACTCAATTTCAACACATATACCATGCTTGCTTTTAAATTGGAAAATCTAATGAAATAGACTGAAAATTCCAAAAAAAAAAGGTGTTTTAACCAGGGATTGATTTTACATGGACAGTTGGCCACTTTTCCATTAACAACTATGTGGTTCTCAAATATGGCGGGGCCTCTGGAAGAAATTAGCATTTTTGGCAACCAAGTCTCCTTCATCGCTCCATCTTTGTATGGTCAACCAGTGGTAAGTTTCCCTTTCTTCATCAGTATGTAATTATTAATAATAATCTTTTAGATACATATGTAAAAGATTTAATGGTGGATCCAAGTGTCCGCTTACATATAAAAACTCCCAAAAATTTTCTAATTTTATCCAAAAAACGTTTTAGATGTTCAGTGAAAATTTTAGTTTAAATTCTTTTGTTTTTCAAATTTTGGGTATCCATATACTCTCTATGTGGATCTGACTCTGAAAAGATTTGAATTTGATTGATGATGAATCGACTGATTAATAATTTTGTTTGGCAGGCGCTGACAATTCATGTCGTTAGCTACGCCAAGAAGATCACTATGGTGTTATCAGTCGATGATAACATAATTCCAGACCCCTATCAGTTATGTGATGACTTTGAAGAATCCCTCAAACTCTTCAAGAATTCGGTCACTGCTGAAGGCCTGATCCTTAATTAAAAATCATCACTTTCAGTTTCACCAGTGGGTTGCGGCCACGTGGTTGCTTAAGTATTCTTTAGGATGGTTTGTATTTTCAGATGATGTCATGTTTATGAACTATATCTACAAGACACTTCAATTCAGCACTAATTACTTCCTGGGTAATAGTTTAAGGCTTGAGTGCTGAAGCTTATTCTGTTTAATACTATGAAAATAAAAAGTGTGCAATTCTACATGTTTGCCCTTCGCTGTAGAACTTATTATAAATTTGATAACATAATCGCCTTCAAAACGATTGTGGAGCTACTAGCCATAAAGTTGTATGAGAGTTGGACTACTTGGTCAAATCCAAAGGTCCGCTCAATATTTGAGCAGGTTTAAACAAATATTTAAGATTTGTTGATAGTGCTTATGTCACGGGTCGATACTTAAGTTTTGAATTCGTGCGACTCTTGGACTCGGGCATACATTAATTCGATGTTTCAGATTAATTTACTTATTATGGTTCACACCCTTGTGAGGTATTGTCCGTTTTGACCCTCATTTGACTTCACGGGTCGTCTTACAAAAGGCATCTCATCAGGAAGAGGTGATGTGAACTTTATATACCCCAGTGACCCACCTATTATGTTCGATGTGAGATTCAGAACTCCTCTTTAGGTCCGTGATACTTGAGCAATGAAGTGAGGTCCGCTTAAAATTCTAATGGAGCTTTGGAGAAGAAATATAAAGTCCGAGACCTGATAAAATTAAATTATACATGCATAAAACAATAATGTATATTCTATTCTTTAACTCTTTTAGGTAAAAAGTAAAAACAAAATAAGGCCTAAAGCCTTGAAAATAAAAATAATAAAAAAACGAGGAAAAACGTAGGTGAATGGCCAGGTTGTAACAAATTGTTAGAAATATTTTCAAAATAAGCAAAAGATTAATAGAAAGAATAACTAAACAAAGCTATGAAATAACTTAATAAGTTCCAATATTAAGAATTTGATCTAATCAAATGGAGAAGACTATCAATGAGAATAGTCCACTATCATGAACTCTAAAATTGAATAAAGATTCCATTTATTTTGTAGAAATTGACTTTCAAAAAATGATTTTCGCATTTTCATGTGTTTCTCTTATAGAAAACTAGCTGGTCAATAAAAATTGACTAAAAGGTTAATGAAAATTGAGATCATTTTTTTAAAAAATTGTCTTATGGATTTGAAAAAGAAAAAATATTTTGCGAAAAAAGAAAATTATCTATGAATATAGTTATTTCTTAATACTTTTGAGTATAATTTTACTTATATATAATATTATATTAATCAAAATGATTATAAATAAATATATACTAATATATTAATATTAATAAATAAATCATATTATATTAATAAATCATATATTAATAAATCAATATAACAATAAATATTATTAATTTAATTAATAAATATTATAAGAATATAAGAATAAATAATACATTATTAATAAATAATATACTATTAATATAATATATTAATAAATATTATTAATAAATAATATAAAGAATAATAAAAAAATTTATTTTAAGTATTTTTTATATTAACATAATATTTTAATATTAAATATTATTATTAAAATATAATTATTTTGAATATTAATAATGTTAATAATAAATATTTTTAATATTTTAATAGCTATAATAATATTATTTGAAAAAAATAGATTTTTTAAAAAATAACCAAACAATAAAAAATATTTTTCAATAACTCATTAAAACAATTAAAAATTTTTTTCAATTCAAAAAATATAACGATTTTCAAATATTATTTTTTGAAAGTCATTTTTTGTGAAACAAATGGAATCAAAATTCGAACAAAATTCTCTGTCCAATTTTGTTCAAATATTACAAAGCAACAATCGATTGCCTTATCCACAGTAGTCAACTGTTATGGCTGGAAAACTCAAGTGCTAGGTCTGAAAAGTCTTATGTTTCATAATAACACTAAGTCAATTGATATTAGCATGGAAGTTGAATGCCTTTATATAAAAAAATTTTGAAATTCAAGAAAGTCGACGCCTTTTTAGGAAATTGACAGCCTTGTTGTTCGTAGCAGTTTGGAACTGAATTTACATAAGAGGAATCGACTACCCATATGGAGTAGTCAGCTGCCCTTGTTTAAAAAATTATATCTTTCAAATAGAAACATTAAGTTTTTGTTCATATGAATTAAGATCTTTCACTAAGTGATTAACCAAATGTTAAAAGGTGTCTGTAACTATTCTGAAAGATGTGTTCTTAGTTAAATAACATGATTGTTGGATGAACTAACACAAACTAAAGGAAATGACCCTTGTATCAACTCTCTATAAAGAGAGAGGCGTAGAACATATTTTTTTATATATTATAAATACCTTCTGACACTACAAGAAAGAAGGGCAGTAGCGACAGAATTTTACGTTGCTAATAACTTGTATTTCCTTTGTAATAGGAACTAGCGAAAAACATTGCATCACTAATGATCTGTTGAAAAACATGAAGTTGGTAAAAAATTTTATCGATAATAAGTTGGGAATTACCAATGAAAATTTTCATTTTTAATTCCTATATTTTGTCATTAAAAAAATTTTACAAAAAATGAATAAATATGAAATTCTATTACTAATACATTTTAGTGACGGAAGTATAAATTATGTAAATTTTTTCTATTTAAATTTTGTTGCTAAAAATTATTAACGATGAAAATTCCGTCGTTAAAGATTTTCTATTTAAATTCCATCACTAATTGCTTTTAGCAACGAAAATTTCATCACTAACATTGAAGTTTTGTAAAATTTTTCTATTTAAAGTTTGTCACTAATTACTTTTAGTGATGAAATTTTTGTCGCTAAAAGCTTAATAAACTTGTTTTTATCTTTTTACCAATGGTATTCTGTCGCTAAAAGATAAAATTCTTTCACTAATTCTTGCTGATTTTATCATATTTTGAGGATCAGTCCCCTTTGATTGAGGATATATCCTTTTCATGAAGGATAGATCCTGCCCTTAAAAAGATCAGTCCTTTTCACTTTTAATCCAATTTTCCAATTACAAATCACATAAAAATCATTCATATAAATCTTAATACAACTATATAATACCATAATTCAACATTCAATCCATTTCTATATAATAGATCCATAAACATTTATAAACATTCACAAATGTCCATAAAGAAAAAGATTATTATCTCCTTAACCACTTTCTCCCAATGCTTGTAGTTTACTACCACCATGTCGAGAAGATCTACATGTAGGCAATGAACCACTTTTGTGTTGGTATATTCTCTAAGACCAATCAGATTGGCTATAGGGTATATGTCATTGTATGCATTTCTATTATTATCAAAGACATTCTTTATTTATAAGATTGTATGCACATAATTCATATTACATACTTCATATAGATAAAGTCCTTATAATGAACATGAAAGGAATTATAATGAGATTGTAATTATGAGATCATCATTGCATTAAAGTATTATTCTTAAATTGTCCCTAGTTGATGCTTTGTCAAGAAAAGACATTGATAAAAGCTGTTGAAACTAATACATAATTATACTCTTACTTATGAACCAAGCAACTAATCTCATAGGTTGAAGTTTAGATAAACTTCAGCTAACATGTGGGTGCTTGTTACAAGAACAAGTTCACTAGACATGGCCCAAGATAAGAATGTTATATGGTATTTCACATAGTGTCTATTGCAACATTCTATGTGATAATTGTATAACTGATCATTTGACTAGAGGTTACTTATGATCATATAAGATAAATGTTATACTTTGAGTTTACTTTATTCATGGTTCTAATCATGAATGCTTTCGTAAGGTATTGTTGGGTATAACATAAGTTATATGAAAATGCATGAAGTAGTCAAGATGGGATTCATCACCTTGTGTGATCAAGTGAATATCTCACTTAGTCTTGATTTAATTAACTAAAAAAATTTTGGTCAAAGTGGAATAAGGTTTTAGAATAGTTCTAAAGCTTATTTGAGTGTTAATATCAAGAGCAACACTTAATATGATTGAACAAGTTGAGTAGACACTAATCCCTACTCAATGTTAAACTGAGATATTATATGATGAAGAAATATTAATCATACTACAAGAACATGTAAGGATAGGTTATCAAATCACATTAACATTCCTTACTAATTAGGGGTCATTGCAATATGGCCAATATTGATCATGATATACAAATATATAATTGGTTAATTACAAAATTAATGGTCAAGTCAAAATATTTTGATTCATTTAATCCGAACCAAAGATTACAATGCTTATATTTGTTGCGGACATGTTAAGAAACCTAATAGGTCATAAATAATAGGACATGTTGTGAAAGATTAAAATTGGGATAAATTAAGTTGGACTTAATTTATTGGGTTAAAATCAAATATAAAGAAACATAAAAAAGGTTCAATACTAAATGGAACTTTGTATGGTTGACAAAGTAAGTAATCCTATTTAGAATAGGACTTAGTCAATGGGTTATTTTATTGAGAATAGAATTAAGCATAAGGAAATCCTAATACCTTAGGGTTTTGACTTACCTTTATTTCTGTATAAATAACTTAAGCCACCCTCTTTCTTGTAGCATTATAAGAGAATAAATATCTCATGTGTTGAGATCAATAAAAAGAAAACACAAAGAGGGCTACTAACTAATCTCACTAGCTAAAGATTTCAATTTTGGGTTCTTCCTATCCCTTAAAGAAGGTTTTTTCACTTTGTTTATGTGGATTACTGTTAAAGGCTAGACACTTGGACAACTACTGGTTTGCAACAATTGAGCTTGTGGTTCTTGAAGTATTCTTAACACTATGACAAGCAAAGTGAGTAAAACTGCCTTTACTAATTGCATATGTATGTTTGTGTATAGTCTTATCAATGTGATCCAAAGCTTAAGGGATTGAAAATTTTTAAATTCTGCTACTTTATACTCTGTTATTTAATGTTCAATTCCCAACAATGGTATCAGAACCTTGTTGTTTAAGATTACATAAACTAGAACTTGTTTGGTTGTTCTTGATATCAAAAATTATTTTGATTACAATCTTTATTGTGATGAAAAGGCTAGAAAAATAAGTTTTTTATTTTATTTTATTTTGATTTAATTCTTTAAGAATATAAAAAATATAACATCTTAGGATGATTGGGGATTAAATTTTATGATTTACAGATAGGATTTACTGACAAATATTGAATTTACTTCATGATCAATAAATTG